GCAGGATTTGATTGATCTTGCCCGGTCGCGGAGCTTGCCATATAATAATATGGTGTGGTATGTGGTATGTCCCAGCGGCACACTCCGACCCAAAGATTTACATACCCGCCGAGTACCCGCCCCTCCCAGTTAAGAACACGGGTACCAAGAACAAAGGAAATTTTTCTAGCAAGTTTCAAACTTGGAGATAAGATTAAGAACCTGTAGGTTCATCAGTGGCGCTTACGAAGGTTAACGTGACAAAGCCAAAAGTGGGACCATCCCAGTGATCCCTAGTTTTCAAACTTAGTGTTTCAAGTTTCGCATGCCCTTCTTAGCTTACTGATATACTGTACAGCATATATGAAGTGGTATGTTCCTTACCCGAAAGCAACATATTTGGTGTCCATCCAAGGAGCAGGCTGTAACGTGATGAAGAATTGAGAGCCATTTGTATGCCGGCCCCTGTTGGCCATACCCACGATACCTCTCTTGGCGTGCGGTATGGAAAAGTCTTCATCTGTGAATGAAAAGGAAACCAAATCAGAAAAAGAAATACATATGTACGAGTGAGTCCACGCCTATGGAACCAGAAAGGCACCAGCTCCGTACACAAGAAGGTTACACAGACGTTATTTTTCCTTGTGATGCAATTTTGAGGGAAATTGTTTGACCAATCAAACAAACACCTGCTATAGATGGGTTGTTCCAATTTAAGATACATTGTAGCCTTGTTCACAGCCATTACTTGAGTTATGACGTGATGCTTGGAGACAAACATTGCATAACAGTCCAAATAATAGCTCAGAAAGAGACTCCATGTATATACATTAAACAATACAGTGAAACCTGTATTAAGCAGACCCCATACATGTATTAAGTGGACACCCTCTATTAAGTGGGCACTAGCTTGAGTCTCTAAATTTTCTTCCCACATTTACTGTAAAATAAACCTGCATTCAGTGGACACCTGTTAGCGGACATGGACACCAGTATTAAGCCATTTATTCACACAAACCCTTCAATAAGCAGACACTTCAAGGATTCTTTACTTCTGAAAGCTCAGCTCAGACCCCTTTAACATTGTTCAGCTATGTCATTTTAAACCTAAGTAGATTATTCCAGATTGATGCATTGACTGACTGGACATAGTGCTATGAGCAGTCTTTGATGTTACACTGTGTTACAAAAGGTTTAATAATTAGCTAATATTGCACATTATTATATAGCCGTTTCTCACAAGGACTGGGAACTACCGAATTCACGAATTTGATTGGCTGAAATCAATATTGACCACGGTCTACATTTTCCCATCGAGACCGGCATCTAGACCGGTTTCATTTTGCGTTGAAGAAGTAGCAAACTAAAATACAAAAATGTTCATTGTTTTCTTTTATTCTCTGCTCAATCATTTATGGAAGTGCCGAAAAGCCTGATGACAAAAAAAAAGTAAAGTGGATGAGCAAATTTCGGCAGGTTTAAGTTAAGCTCATCTCTGTTTGCAAGCAAAATGTCAGCAAACCAGTTTCATTAAATGATTTAAATTTTTCTTCTTTGCCATATCATAAACATCTTATTAAGCGAGCTAAGTCGGTCTGTATGGGAGCATCTTGACCTCGCTCGTGTGTACAGACCTCACTGCGTTCGGTCTGAACTCACCACCTCGGTCAAAATTCTCCCATAGACCTCCTGCTCGGTTAATAAGAGCTAAATATATTACAACCTGTTTAGAGCAGACACCCTGAAGTGGACACTAGTGAATATCCCAAGGGTGTCCACTTTAAACCGGTTTCACTGTAGACAATCTAAACAAACACTGTATTACACTTAGACTGCCTACCTTCAAAGAAGGGGCCATAGATGGACTCCCCTCCAATCCCTTTTCCTTCTTCAATGTCTAAAACCCAAGCAAAACAATTTACTATTATCAGCATCTTGTCTGTGTATTATCCCCAAATCTTTTTTTTTTTTTCATTTTAATAGTTACAAGTTTAAATTACTCAAGTTATACATGTAGATTCTAGCTTCTGATGAATGAAACCTCTAAAGGAGATCAATCTCGGTGTGGCTCAAAATCGATCTGATTTCTCATCTTAACTCGATCTGATTCTAGTTTTTAGGTATATATTTTATGGCAGGTCCACACCAGCCCTCTGGGTTGCCAGACGCAGACCTGCCTCATCAAAAATATATGTACGTATGTATGTATGTATGTACCCTAAAAGATACCACTAAAACAGAATAGCTGGTTTTCACATGACGTCACTAAAAATCAAACTACAAAGCTATTAATCTTCCTGAGATTTTACTTAAATGATGTATAAGAGCAGCTGAAAACCAATATTCATACAAATTTTCACTCTGAATGGGTTCTTGGTTTNAAGGAGATGGAGCTGGCTTGGCCATACGCTTCGCAAACCACCTAGTAGCACTGGCCGTCAAGCCCTGAACTGGAACCCCCAAGGTCAAAGAAAGAGAGGGAGACCACGGCACACCTGGCGGCGGGAGCTTGAAAAGGACATTAAAAGGACTGGACACACATGGAAACCTCTTGAAAGGATAGCTCAGGACAGAGGAGACTGGAGAGTTGTTATTGGTGGACTATGCTCCGGGAGGAGTAAAGGGCCAAAGTAAGTAAGTAAGTAATCTTCTTGCACTGTACCTCCACCCTGAATCCATCCATTGGGAACTATTCTGTGAAATATGGAGTTCTTGTACCATAGTTTCAAAGGAGGGTCATGCCGTTCGGCCTCAGTTCGACTTCCCAAACAAAGCTCAAGGAAGTTTTTGCATGTCTTTGGTAACCTTTCAGAGAACAACTGTTGAAAAAAAGAACCCTGAATATTAGAATCTTGAAGAATAAGTTCTTTCTTTTGGATTGACAGTGGGAGGTGATTTAATGGTCACCTTACTGGACTCTAGATTGAGTGATTTGAGTGCAATCACTGGCCAGCGTCATCATGTTGTGTTTTTGGACAAGACACTTCACTCTCACATTCCGTCTTTCCACCCAGGCCGGATTATTCAAAGCCCGATTAAGCTGACCCACGAATAGTGAGAATTTTGATTTCAGTTTTGCAACTCTTCGGTGAGGCTTGTCTATTCTAATTTCAATTAGCCTCGTTCTTTTTTGGGAGCGTTTATGGACCTCAACTCCATCTCTGTCCATAACCATGCAAAAAAGGACGGCCAATAACCAGCCATCTTGACCTGATACTTGGTCCATAACCCATATATAGTTTGGGAGAACTCAAAAAAGCTGTAGTAACACTCACCTGTTGGCTTGTGTTCCTTCAGCATTTCTTGTTCCCCCAAACTTCCGTTTGTGTTTCTATTTAACAATCAGATTATGAGCTTGAGATTTCTATCACACCATAATTGACGAGGGCACAGCCCAAGTCAACTGTCACGGATAGAAATTTACTAGTCGTTCAAAACTTTATCTTAATCCCCTACACAGACACTTCCAAAATGCTAAGTAGCAGCTGTCATTTTGTTAACCCATTGAACTCCCAGAGCTTTTTGCCAAAAAATGCATTTTTTTGGACATTTTGGAGATTTTCAGGCTGGATTTGGGCCAAATTAGTTCCAATCTACTCAAAAAGGCACTTGCAACATGGCAGCATGCCTTTCTTTCCACTAGCATCACGTTTTACGCCATTTTTGCTTGGGCATGCGCAGAAATCAAAATTTTTTCGCCTTTCCTTTTTCTCCTTTTCTTTTCGTTTTGCTGCAGTGATTGACCTTCTACTGGGCTTGCTTCCAGTTCAAAAAATTTTGAGAAAGCATCACCGAAACGGGCAATTTTTACCATGGGGTAGCCATGTGTAGTTGCAAGAAATTTTGCTCTGAGTTTTTCACTCAACTTTTTGAGCATTTTCGTGCATATTTCAGGCTCCACTGAGCCAATCACTCTGAACTGGGCATCATTGGAAAGATCTTTTCCTCCTGCAGAAGTTGAACATAGCTGATGCCAATTTTGGTCAAAGATGATGACGTCAGAAGTGGAACAAAGGCCAAGGCTTGTCACAGCCGGTTACTGACAGCACGGGAGTCAATGGGTTAACAAGGGTACACTGCTACGCTACTCAATATCTATCACAGAATAGATAGTGAGTATTATAGAAAATCAGTGAGCGGCATTCGTGATAGAATGCTAGTAGATTTACACTAAAACTCGATAGAAACACAGTAAATGTTTTCTATTGTGTAGATAATGAAATATATAATGACAACAATATTAATTTTGTGTATTTACACCTACCTCAATCAGCAACCTTCCAATCTTATCATGGCCCACTGCTATGTCCATATAGACAAACTGATGCTGCAAACAAGCGTAGTATTATTAGTACATGTTTATCTTGTTTGTCAGAGTATTCCACAAGAAATTGCTAACATTCTCTCACTCTTGTCCTCAGAGCCTGCACATTTGCAGTAGGTGTTGACCAAACACCCTATGCTGGCCCTGGGCAAAATCCAAAACCAGAACCAGAAATCAAGTTTGATTGTTTTGTTCTAGTTCGGTAATTTATGCCTAGAGAGATACACTGTAAAGATCTTGCACTTTTTGTCCAGTATTTTCCTTGTGATAGTAAAAATGTCTGCTTCTTGCAATGTTTTCAAATTAGCAGCAAATTACAGGCAAAGTTCTTCCTTCTGAAATTACTTCAAACCAAGTAGGAAAGGAGCAAAATATTAACAGGTACATGTGCAGGCTGCTGAATATGAAATATTTCATTTCATGAGAGGTAAACTCAAGAATCAAGCTTTAAATATGTACAAAATTAATACAGTATAAGTTTTGCAGTGGTTTTATGTAAAATCCCGATTTGTCAAACCCTTGATTATTTAAGCCTCCCACAGTACAATTTATAAACTAAAGGTGTTTTCCTCCCAATATTGTTTCATCATAATTTAACTCCTGATATCCTGTCCTTCCAATTTCTCAAATCAATTTGGCTTCCTCTTTGGAGGCTTAACAAATTTGAATACCACTACATTATATTTACATGTGCTTATACTGAAGCAGCATAATTCTGACACATTTGCTGACTAAATGTTTAATAATGTGCATGTTCCAAATGCCACCCAAATACAGTCACATTAATAACAAATAGAATTTATAGTGGAGTTACATGTTTACAGTGTAAATGAATGTGCAAAATCTTGAGTTTGCAACTGATTAAGAACATCCCAAAACACAAAAAAGCAGATTGCAAATGTTGAAGACAGCATCTGAAAGCAACAGAAGGCAAGCCTCTTTGAGAGGATACATGGGGCTCGAGAAATAAGATTTGGTATAAAGAAACCCGATTCATGAAAGGTGCAGAATTCATCATTGTAATATCTGAAAGAGGCATATAGAAATGCAACAACCTTGGATGTCATTGAAAGCTTGGTTATAAATTGTTCTAGAGAAATGTTTTGAACTTTTAAAAAAAGCTCAAGAGAGAGAGAATGTCACACTGTGATGCTTTCTGTGGTCATGGGGTGAGGGAGTGGTCAGCATATATTTCCCTCTTAATTAATTAAAGCTGCTGGAGTGAAAATTTGGTTCACAAGAAGTGCAACAGATCCACATGTATGATACAAAGGTACTTCTCTGTCAAAAAATTATAATAGTACCTTTGTGGCAAGGAGGTAGTCCTTATATGATTTTTTAGCCATCGCATGCCAAAGTGGAAGGGGCCTAGTGAGAAAATAAATTATTCAGAATACACACTAGCAAGCATAATAGGTCTTTGTCATCAAAATAACACCATTTATGGTAATTTTACCTGCCCATCTATTCAAGCTGTGTTTTTTTGAAATTTTAACTTTGTCTTATGATTGCTATTTCTTTGTTTTAATACCCCCACATCAAATTAAAGACTCTTTCTTTATTCTTGAGGAGAGGTCAACATCTGACTATGAGTAATTCTTAGCAATTCAAAACCGGAACTTAACCAATATCTGTCAAGTGAAATCAGCTGGAAAAATTTTCAGAGCTTGGTGGATAAAAGCACAGATGACATTCATAGCAAGGATTTGAGGTGTTCTGCAGCATGCATCATGAATATCAAATCATTATTTAATAACAATCATATTATTGTTGTGGGTCTGTTTGCATCTTTCAACTATAGATTTTTACAGCACTAGTAATGCAAAATTAGTCCATTAGCCAAACTATTAAGGCTTTGGCCACAAAAAAAAAAACATAGACGCCCCAAATCTCCCTTAATTTCCATTTCATCTCTCTTTTAACATGTATCAAATGTACCAATTTAGTAAAAATCTGACCTTTTTGGCCTTTGTAGTACATGTGGTTAACCAAGAGTGTGCACGTTACTGCTTGAATTTCACAGCTGTTAAGAAAACCTACTACAATGAACAGCATGTATTAAAGAAATTTGAAAACTGTTTTAACAGCAGACCTAAAATATCTGTATCCATGGTTATCCATTGCCCATTTTGAAAATTCCTCTTGTCCCCCAATTAACTCTTCATTCAGAAAGGCGATGACATTTTCTTGAAATCCCCACACTTCTTTTCCCATTTCCTGTCAAGCAAAAAAAGAAAATAAGCTTAAAACATTAAAAACACACATCTTATGTCAAAGCAATGTTTTATAAGTTACTTCTGCTTTTTGATAAATGGAATATGGGAATCTCTCAGATTCTAGTCGTAGATAAGGTTAAGAAATACGTGATTTGCCGAACAACTTTAATCACGATTAACATTTTTAAAGCTTATACATATATAATCTTAAGCTTTGTTAGCGTCAAGCTTCACCCTCGAGACTGAAAACCCAAAATGAAGGCATATAAATTTACGATTTATCGAAGTATCTGCCGCAGATTCTTCACGATCAAGATTTTATCGCGACCGATTGCCGACAAGCTGCCATACCTTCTTCTTGTCGCGAATAAATGCATCCCAATCGCACTCCAACAAGCCAAGAACGTAAGGTTCAGTAAAGACTTCGGGTTTCCTTTGGCTAAGTTGCTGATGTCATAAACAAAAACAACAAATCAGTTGGAAATCTTGAACCATTTCCCCTGAATTATATCTCATCTGAACCTTAACATTCCTAGTTTCAATGTCAAGAAGTACCTCCGCAGCCCCTTTTGCCATGTGAAATTCCGCATCTTTGAGGAGGCCGATCACAGAGATCGTATGCTTTTCCGCCATTTTGCTTGTTATTTCTAAGATTCCCGGGGTTCAAGTAGTCATAGTAACGATGTTATGCGCATGCTCGAGTTGGCGCGCAAAGTAGTTTTCGATCACGTACGATCACGTGTGTCCCACATGTCACTTAACAAGAACAAAGTGCACGCAGAAAGAGACAAAGAAAGAAATGTTCTATTCTTTTTTATTTTAAATTATTTACAAAAATCATTTGCAAAAGGCAGTAAAAGATGGGTTACTTGAGTAGTTCATATGGAGTTTAATTCCTCAAAATAGTGGTAATCGACTGGGTCAATTAAAAATATAGCAAAATTTGAAGAGTTTTGACTCCACTCACGTATAAGCAACTTGCAGATGGCTTCGTGCCAGTTCTTATGTTTTCGGGAAGAAAACAAGTTATGTCACGATATCCTACGGCGAACGATATGTGGCCTTTTACAAAAAGAAAACCAGCAACAACTTATATTTTCATTCCCTTGTAAACTCTGAGTAGAAATGTCTAATTCTTAAAAAGGCTCGGCACTCCTGTTAACTTTACGTGACCCTCTCAATTTTGGCAGAGGAAAGGGATACCGAAGAGATAAGGAGTGGCCTGAGAGGAAGATTAGCACATCGAGTGAATAAGCAAATATAAGGAGCAATTAAAGTCAAAATTTAGTTGGTCGCGCAGAAGATGTTTGGATCATGGCGCAAGACTTTTTTAGAGGGGAAACGTATTACGTCAAACACCTTAACACTGCAAGCGAAGGATGGCCGAAAGTCTGCAAACCTGACGCAAACGAATCCTGACCAAAACGTTACCAAACAAAGGTTTCTATGATCTAGATTCAATGGCTCAGTATGCTTGTGCGATCTAAATCTTTGTATATTTCTTAGCCTTTCTCTGCACACAATCACGCGATAGAAATCTCGAGCTCATAATTTAATTCACCTTTTCAGGGTATCGAGAATCGTTTTTACAAGTATCAAAAGTACGTCTTTTAGTCGTGGCCATTCTGTCAGAACACTACTTATCGAACACGTGTAGTTGACTTGAATGTCCGAACTTTCCCGGTTTGTTTACATCGTAAGTCACGTGACACTACTTAACAAAGGGTAAACGCCAAAGCGTGCACTATTGAGTTATGGATGCACGCGAGAGGTTGCTAAGCAAGAAAGAAGCGTAAGAGTCGCACGAGGCGACAGCCGAGTGCAACTCTAGCTTCTTGAGTGCTTAGCAAACCTCCCAAGTGCATCCACAACTCAATAGTGCACGCTATAGCGTTTACCATTTGTTTTATAACATAACATTGAGACATTGGAACAACAGAAGTCCTTTTATTGAGCTACAGCACAAAAAAATGTTCGTGTAGTCTTACATGACAAGAGAAAACAAGCGCGCGAAAATTCATTCATGAGCAACCGACTGCACACCAGTAACTCGATAAAGTTTCATCTTCAGACAACTGTGAAGACAGTTTCGCATTTCTGGCAGAAGGACGTCGGTATTACTTTGGAAACAATGTCTGTCAAAAGATTTGCTTTGTAAACATTAGCACACACGTCAGCAGCGTGCACCCATGGGCAAATAGTGGACGCTAAATTAACCAATCAGAGCGCGCGCTTTGCTTTAGTTATGTTATAAACGTGAAATCTAACGCCGAAAAGGTGAATTGTTAATAGATAGTGAGTAGCGTAGCCAATCAGAGAACGGCATTCGTGATAGAACGCTAGTAGATTTATACTAATTAACAATTAGATTATGAGCTCGAGANTCAGGCTGGATTTGGGCCAAATTAGTTCCAATCTACTCAAAAAGGCACTTGCAACATGGCAGCATGCCTTTCTTTCCACTAGCATCACGTTTTACGCCATTTTTGCTTGGGCATGCGCAGAAATCAAAATTTTTTCGCCTTTCCTTTTTCTCCTTTTCTTTTCGTTTTGCTGCAGTGATTGACCTTCTACTGGGCTTGCTTCCAGTTCAAAAAATTTTGAGAAAGCATCACCGAAACGGGCAATTTTTACCATGGGGTAGCCATGTGTAGTTGCAAGAAATTTTGCTCTGAGTTTTTCACTCAACTTTTTGAGCATTTTCGTGCATATTTCAGGCTCCACTGAGCCAATCACTCTGAACTGGGCATCATTGGAAAGATCTTTTCCTCCTGCAGAAGTTGAACATAGCTGATGCCAATTTTGGTCAAAGATGATGACGTCAGAAGTGGAACAAAGGCCAAGGCTTGTCACAGCCGGTTACTGACAGCACGGGAGTCAATGGGTTAACAAGGGTACACTGCTACGCTACTCAATATCTATCACAGAATAGATAGTGAGTATTATAGAAAATCAGTGAGCGGCATTCGTGATAGAATGCTAGTAGATTTACACTAAAACTCGATAGAAACACAGTAAATGTTTTCTATTGTGTAGATAATGAAATATATAATGACAACAATATTAATTTTGTGTATTTACACCTACCTCAATCAGCAACCTTCCAATCTTATCATGGCCCACTGCTATGTCCATATAGACAAACTGATGCTGCAAACAAGCGTAGTATTATTAGTACATGTTTATCTTGTTTGTCAGAGTATTCCACAAGAAATTGCTAACATTCTCTCACTCTTGTCCTCAGAGCCTGCACATTTGCAGTAGGTGTTGACCAAACACCCTATGCTGGCCCTGGGCAAAATCCAAAACCAGAACCAGAAATCAAGTTTGATTGTTTTGTTCTAGTTCGGTAATTTATGCCTAGAGAGATACACTGTAAAGATCTTGCACTTTTTGTCCAGTATTTTCCTTGTGATAGTAAAAATGTCTGCTTCTTGCAATGTTTTCAAATTAGCAGCAAATTACAGGCAAAGTTCTTCCTTCTGAAATTACTTCAAACCAAGTAGGAAAGGAGCAAAATATTAACAGGTACATGTGCAGGCTGCTGAATATGAAATATTTCATTTCATGAGAGGTAAACTCAAGAATCAAGCTTTAAATATGTACAAAATTAATACAGTATAAGTTTTGCAGTGGTTTTATGTAAAATCCCGATTTGTCAAACCCTTGATTATTTAAGCCTCCCACAGTACAATTTATAAACTAAAGGTGTTTTCCTCCCAATATTGTTTCATCATAATTTAACTCCTGATATCCTGTCCTTCCAATTTCTCAAATCAATTTGGCTTCCTCTTTGGAGGCTTAACAAATTTGAATACCACTACATTATATTTACATGTGCTTATACTGAAGCAGCATAATTCTGACACATTTGCTGACTAAATGTTTAATAATGTGCATGTTCCAAATGCCACCCAAATACAGTCACATTAATAACAAATAGAATTTATAGTGGAGTTACATGTTTACAGTGTAAATGAATGTGCAAAATCTTGAGTTTGCAACTGATTAAGAACATCCCAAAACACAAAAAAGCAGATTGCAAATGTTGAAGACAGCATCTGAAAGCAACAGAAGGCAAGCCTCTTTGAGAGGATACATGGGGCTCGAGAAATAAGATTTGGTATAAAGAAACCCGATTCATGAAAGGTGCAGAATTCATCATTGTAATATCTGAAAGAGGCATATAGAAATGCAACAACCTTGGATGTCATTGAAAGCTTGGTTATAAATTGTTCTAGAGAAATGTTTTGAACTTTTAAAAAAAGCTCAAGAGAGAGAGAATGTCACACTGTGATGCTTTCTGTGGTCATGGGGTGAGGGAGTGGTCAGCATATATTTCCCTCTTAATTAATTAAAGCTGCTGGAGTGAAAATTTGGTTCACAAGAAGTGCAACAGATCCACATGTATGATACAAAGGTACTTCTCTGTCAAAAAATTATAATAGTACCTTTGTGGCAAGGAGGTAGTCCTTATATGATTTTTTAGCCATCGCATGCCAAAGTGGAAGGGGCCTAGTGAGAAAATAAATTATTCAGAATACACACTAGCAAGCATAATAGGTCTTTGTCATCAAAATAACACCATTTATGGTAATTTTACCTGCCCATCTATTCAAGCTGTGTTTTTTTGAAATTTTAACTTTGTCTTATGATTGCTATTTCTTTGTTTTAATACCCCCACATCAAATTAAAGACTCTTTCTTTATTCTTGAGGAGAGGTCAACATCTGACTATGAGTAATTCTTAGCAATTCAAAACCGGAACTTAACCAATATCTGTCAAGTGAAATCAGCTGGAAAAATTTTCAGAGCTTGGTGGATAAAAGCACAGATGACATTCATAGCAAGGATTTGAGGTGTTCTGCAGCATGCATCATGAATATCAAATCATTATTTAATAACAATCATATTATTGTTGTGGGTCTGTTTGCATCTTTCAACTATAGATTTTTACAGCACTAGTAATGCAAAATTAGTCCATTAGCCAAACTATTAAGGCTTTGGCCACAAAAAAAAAAACATAGACGCCCCAAATCTCCCTTAATTTCCATTTCATCTCTCTTTTAACATGTATCAAATGTACCAATTTAGTAAAAATCTGACCTTTTTGGCCTTTGTAGTACATGTGGTTAACCAAGAGTGTGCACGTTACTGCTTGAATTTCACAGCTGTTAAGAAAACCTACTACAATGAACAGCATGTATTAAAGAAATTTGAAAACTGTTTTAACAGCAGACCTAAAATATCTGTATCCATGGTTATCCATTGCCCATTTTGAAAATTCCTCTTGTCCCCCAATTAACTCTTCATTCAGAAAGGCGATGACATTTTCTTGAAATCCCCACACTTCTTTTCCCATTTCCTGTCAAGCAAAAAAAGAAAATAAGCTTAAAACATTAAAAACACACATCTTATGTCAAAGCAATGTTTTATAAGTTACTTCTGCTTTTTGATAAATGGAATATGGGAATCTCTCAGATTCTAGTCGTAGATAAGGTTAAGAAATACGTGATTTGCCGAACAACTTTAATCACGATTAACATTTTTAAAGCTTATACATATATAATCTTAAGCTTTGTTAGCGTCAAGCTTCACCCTCGAGACTGAAAACCCAAAATGAAGGCATATAAATTTACGATTTATCGAAGTATCTGCCG